GAACTGCCTCATCCGCCTGTCTGTTTAGTCTCTCGTGAAATTCTTTTATTCTCACACATAGGTTCTTTTCACTTATCAATTGGCTTAATTTTAGCAGGAGAGTGTCTAGATCAGTCAGTGCAGCAGGGAGGCTGTCGAACATAGAAGACGTCACGCCTGACATCATCAATGCATCTGGTCAAAATATTGTGACAATATTATTCAATGGACTTACATAACCTCACTTCTTTATGACTCATTTCGGGATACGCTTGCTAACATACCAAATCGTTTCTACTTTTACATGTAGCTAGGGCTACATGTGTGAAATGTAGGTTTTAAACCTGAAAGTAGTATTATCAAGAGCGCATTAAGTACACGTATTAAGTGTACTTAACACATTATTAGTATTATGTATGCCCTTCCGTCCTATATGTTAGCATGCACGGATTTTTTTATACTTTGAAAGTATGAAACATGTCATGTAAGTATATTTGCATTACCGTGTTTCTTTTTTGCATTTATCGTGGGGCATGTTATGTAAGTACGTTTACATGCACACGTTACATTTTAAGCGAGTGTAACATGGGAATTACTTGCTCTTCGTTTCCTTCACAAGACACAGCATAGAGATATATATTGTTCACTTCACGAGTCGCTCTAGACGCTAGCGCTAGCGCAGTGTCTCTGCTGCCAAAACCGACCCGTTGCGAAATATGCGTAACATGATTTAAATACGCCACGCTATTGAGGGCGCATATTATATATATGTATATATGTATATGTACTATATATATGTATATGTATATATGTATATGCTTATAATAATGTGTATATATATATATATATATATATATATATATATATATACGTACTATATTTTATTTTATGCGTACGTTAAAAGCTATCCATCGAAGCATTTCGTTGAGCAATGAATCACTAGTAGATACAAAAGTACGCTGGTAGAAAAAGCTTCGTACATAGGAAGGTTGGTTTTATGCAGATATTCTAAAACTGCTTTAGAAACAATATTTCTTGTTTTAACTTTGCGAGTCTTCACTTACAACTGTAAATGTATTTTTATTTTTATTTACACATGCAAGCGCGTGTGTGCGTGTGCGTGTGCGTTCGCGCATGTGTATTTTATTTGTGTTCGTTCAACCCACGTATTCGTCGATATTCATCTCTCGTACGTGTTTGCGCTTTAAACATTGTATTTTCTATCCACCACATTGTGTTTGCATTGGTCCATGGATTGCGATTATTGACGTTGTTTTTGCATTGTATTTAAGTTGTATTTTTCATGACTGCATTGTTTTCATTTCTGTCGCCGTGCTTGCATTGTTTTCTTATTGTAACTTCGCACTGTTCTGCGTTTCATGCATTACATTTGCATACTCGTCCATTGTTTAGCAAGAATACGATTATATATTATAGATGGCGCTACATATACGTAGCGTGTAAAACCAAGTATAGAAATTGCTAATCTATTTGTTAGAACAATTCGGTGACATTGCTTGTAATAAACAATTAGAAACACAATTTGATTTGATTTCAGCAAAACTGAATTGCATTTATTTATTTAAAGTATCAATCGCCCTCGTCGATAAAATTATATACAGCAATAATAAGAACAGGCATCATCTCAGACTGAGCCGTACCTTCCGATCTCATGAGTGGGTATTTACACGCGTGAATAAGCAACTGTGACAAAGCAAGGCCATTACGATCATCATAATTATTTTTACATTGTACTAATCAAACTAAATGGTATCTCCTCTATACATAATACACTCGTTCTAGCGTAAGTTAATCTTAACGCAATCCATTTTTTAAACACAAGATTCGAGCAGTAGGAAAAAGTTCGCGGGGGATTGGGCACTGTGTAGCGGAATAAATAGAAAATAGTTTTATCTGCCTTACGTCTTGCCAATGTCAATAATAAATGCTTATATCCAATAATGTCAACCTAAATTAAAATCTATTAAGACAGGGTAAACTTTTTTCGTGGATATCGCCATAATTTAGAGACTACTTTCAATTCGCTCTGCTCCTGTGCCACTATCAATCTTCCATTTTACTAGTATCCACCCTGCTGTCCGCCGTAACCTCCACTGGTACGGCCTCCAGACACAACGCGTTGACCACCGCCGATGCTTCCACCACCGATTGCGCCACCGCTGAAGCGGCCACCGCCGATGCTTCCACCACCGATGGCGCCACCGCCGAAGCTGCCACCGCCGATGCTTCCACCACCGATGGCGCCACCGCCGAAGCTGCCACCGCCGAAGCTGCCACCACCGATGGCGCCACCAGCACCACCGCCCTCGCCGCTATAGACAACGTCGACGTCAGCGAATCCCCAGACGGGCTCTTCGATATCATAGTTGTACAGGGTCTTTGGCTGTGTGTACTCGTGTCCCTCTCTGTAAGTAGAGAATGCCTTATAAGCTACACGATTTCAGTAAAGCAAGATGGAAACATTCTGTGCTGTCACTAATTAAAGCTGTATCTATTACACTACGAGATTATACTAGATAGCAGCAGGCAGCTAATGCTAGAATTGTCGCAGTTATAAATCATAAGATACTGTCACGTAATTCTACGCGTTTTGCAACGACATTTAGATAGCCTGAGCCACCAGTAGACAGTGATGCGATGCAGACATTACCTGTATTTGTACTCGTATCCGCGGCTCTTCTTCGCCGTCTCTGTGGCTTCGGCGTTGTCTCTGCTGAACAGGGAGCCGGTGGCGGTACCGGTTCTGGAGAAGGTCAGGCTGCTGCTCCTGTCTCCGTTTCCTCTTAGTCCGCCGGTAGCGATGGGTCCGTATCTGGTCGTGGTGAAGAACTCTGGGGCTCCGGTCTGTTGCTGGCCTCCACCCAGGCTGCCGCCTCCGAAGGATCCACCACCGAAAGATCCACCTCCAATCGATCCGCCTCCGAGAGATCCACCTCCAATCGATCCGCCTCCGAGAGATCCACCTCCAACTTGGAAGGATCCACCACCGAGAGATCCACCACCAGCTTGGAAGGATCCACCACCGAGGGATCCACCTCCAACCTGGCCTCCTCTGATCTGGCCACCTCCAACTCGGAAGGATGCACCACTGATCCTGCCTCCTCCGGTATGACCACCTCCTGATTGGTACGAACCACCGCCTTGCTGTCCGCCACTCACCTGAACAGATAAATCGGATTTTACAGAAACAACAATCGAAGTAAAAAAAACTTCAATTATTTCTACGAGAAGTAGCACTCATAACACCGTACCTATGGAAACGTTCACGAGAAAATAGCAAAATATGCAAATCTAAATAATTATCAGTACGCGTTTCCCCGCATAAACGATGAGTCATGCGGCAAATGTAGACGTTACCTGGGTGATGATGCGGCCGCCACCGATGGCGCCACCTCTGACGCCGCCGACTCCAAGACCTCCTCCCTGCTGTCCGTATTCAGCGACAGCAACACCGAAGAGAAGAGCAATAAGTGCGATAGACTTCATGGTGATCTGAAAGTCAAAAACAGCACGTAAAAAGTGCGTTTAGAAGCAAGTACACGAACAAAGCAAAGAAAGGTATTAAAGACGGTACAAATGATTGTTAGATGCTGATTATTTCACAAAACTGCTATGTACGATACATCTTTGATTGCCGGTATTATATTATATATTCGCAACGCTACAGTGACTGCGTTATTTCTCACCTTGCAGCGGTAGTCCAAACTCCTCTGATGGAAGGAAATCTGTGAGTCCAAGATGGGACTGATGCTGCAACCAAAGACATCGCCGCGCTTATATACACCACCGCGCTCCCCGTGACACACATTTCCCTTCGACAACTCATCCCCACCGACGTACGCGAAAATTTCAGCGATCCTTTCAAAAATATTATCTGCTGCTAAAACTGGGGCTTGCCTATTATCGCAGCGCCACCCTGCGGCGGCGATGCTGTGCGGGCACTCGGGCGCGGAGAGCGGAGGGGCGGGGCGTTTCAGGGTGGCGGCCTTAGCGAGGCGGATGAAATTGGGACAGAGGAACACGAGTGAGCCCGGCGTAAGCAACAGCTTAGCCGCTACGGATGCCGTGAAAGAGTTTACCGAGGGTAGAAACAGCAGCTGGACCGGCGCGACACGGATGTGCACGGCCGCGAATATGTGCGAACACTCCCATCTAACGTAGCGGCGCGGAAGCGGCTGGTGCTCGTCTAGGCGCTACGCTACAATCACTGAGACAGAATGTCCACTACGCGTTAGATTTCTGATTGCAGACCGTTATGGGCTGGGTGGATGTATGAGGGCGTGAATGCGCTGTACGGGGTTTGCTCTAAATACTCAAGAATATAGTGCGCGTGCCGTGGTTTGCCTCTTTCGTGTGTTTTTTTTGCTTTCGTTCTTGTTCGTTTCTTTTTCTCTTCCTTTCTTTCTTTATTTGTCACTCTCTCTCGCCTGCCCCTCCTATTCATCTTTGCTCCTCCTCCATCTTACTTTTTTTCGTGATCTCGTTTTATATGGCTCTTGTCATTATATGTTTCTTTCTCCCCCCCTCTCTCTCTCGCGCTCTCTTTCTTTCTTTCTTTCTCCCTCTCTGTTCCCCCCTTTCTCTCCCTTTCTTTTTTTCTCCCTTTCTCTCCCCCCCCCTCTCTCTTGCCTATCTTTATTCTTCTCTCTCACGTACATACTCTCTCTCTCGCTACCTGTTGAGCGATATGCGTCACACATTAACACATACGTCTAGTTTGTTTACCTGCAGCGATATTATAGGTGCGCCACACAGAGCGCTGTGTGTGTGTGTGTGTGTGTGTGTGTGTGTGTGTGTGTGTGTGTGTGTGTGTGTGTGTGTATGTGTGTGTGTACATGCGTGTGCGTGTATTGCGTATGTGTGTGGGGGTGCGGGTGTGTGCGCGCATGTGTGTGCGTGCGTGTACATGTTGTGCGTGAGGGTGTGTGCACGCGTGTGTTTGTGCGTGTGCGCGCGTATATGTGCATACGTGCGTGCGTGCGTGTGTGCGTATGTGCGTGCGTGTGTGCGTATGTGCGTGCGTATGTGCGTGCGTGTGTGCGTATGTGCGTGCGTGCGTATGTACGTGCGTGCGTACGTATGTGCGTGCGTGTGTGTAGGTGTGCAGTAGCCTCGATTATTCTACTTGGTACCTCGCGTGTTGAAGCAAGCGCCGTCTATCCGTCGACATTAACGCAGACGATTAGTGGGAAACCCTAACGACCGCCAGGAGCGCTAATTGAGCGGACGCTAGCACGCGCATGAGCATGAGTCACTGGTGCGCGTACACGCACGCGGGTAAGCATCTCTGCAGCAG